CACGTGGGGGCCGGGGGGCTGCGCTGCTGAGCGCGGGGACAGCGAGCACAGCTGCAGCGAGAAGCTCAGCGCCGCGTCAAAGGCCGCCAGTGAGGCCTGGGGACGGGAGAGGGGAGGCAGGGGACCCAGGCGTACAGGCACCCCTCCCACCAGACCCCATTCTCCTCCCGGAAAAAGAGGTGTCCAGGAAGGGCTGCAGAGCCCCACGTGGGCACCAGGGGGCACTGGAGACAGCCCTACCCCTCCCCAAGGAGATACTCACTCTTATCCCAGGTCTGGGGGCCAACTCAGGAGTCCCGGCTCCCCACCCCAGCCCATCAGACCCCCCCCCGCCATTCCTCTCCCAGAGAACACAGGTGTCCGGGCACCCTTCCTCACCCCATTACACCCCCACTCCCAAGTCTGGGAGAGCCCAGGCACCCCAGCTCTCAGCCCCAGCTTCTCAGATCCCAGGCCTGGATAGAACCCAGGCGTCCAGGATCCCAGTTCCCCACCCCCCAGCTCTAGTCCACTCCACTCCCAGGGCTAGGAGAGAATGCAGGTGTCCTGGCACCCAAACTCACTTCTCTAATTCCCCCTATATCCCACTGTCCTCCCAGAGTTGGATAGAACCCAGGCATCTGGGCTCCAAGCCCTGCCCCGCCTCAACTCCCTGCTGGATGTAGGAGAGGCCAGGAATCTGGCACCCCTACCTGGACATAGACGCGGGCGTTGGCAGGCACAGTGCAGGGCCCAGAGGGTGCTGGAAACCTGGGAGAGCTTGACACCTCCAGGCTCAGTAGCGCCTGGCCCAGGTGTGGGAGCGGGGCCTGGGGTGATAGGTGTGGGGCCACAGAGGGGCAGGAGACCTGGGGGAGAAGAGTGTGCCAAGGCTGTGACTGACAGTCTGTCTTCCCAGTCCCAGGCCCTGGGGCTCTATGCATCTTCCCAGGGCTTTGTAGCCCATGGGAGCCATCATAACCACTCCCCCCAGCCATATGCTGCTGCTGCCTCCCTGATGTAACAGTGCTGGGTGCCAGGCAGGTGACCATCCTCTGGGGTCTGTGCTGGGACGGGGGAGTGGGACCACCAGAGACAATCACAGCAGGGTCTGGGGCAAAGCAGCCTGCGTGGGGCCTTCCTCCCCATCCCATGGCACACTTACACCGGGGAGTGAAAGTACATGGGACACAGCAGGAGGGGTGGCAGCTGGAACATCCCGCCGGAACAAGCAAAGAGTCGTCCAACCCACTAGGCGGGAAGGCAGGCTAAATTTCAAATGCGGCAACCACGGCCTCTCCACCTGGCTCTGTGGGGGCCCCC